AGACTTCGCTTTACTGGGAAATTCAATTTCTATCATTTTAACAATGATCATATCTATTTAGAAAATGATGCGAGAACAAGCTAGTTAAATCATTTGTAATCACGCATGCATGCACGTGGCGCTGAAAGCATTGATCGGTCGTGTATTACAGCATTTAATGTCATTTGTAAACAGCAAAATTTAGCTCGGATGTGACCGAACCAATTATCGTAAATAGCTCGCGCTACTGCCGAGTCCGTTGGGTTTTTTATTACCACATTATGCCTAATTACGTAAAGTTTCCCTTCTTTAGAGAGAGCAAACATGAGTTTTTGAACGTTTATATAATGGTTTTAAAGAATGGAAGGCGCTTATTAGCGCTAAATTTATATGTCATAAAAGTATGAAAAGTGGAATTTTGTCTTCCATACAAACTACTTAATCACTATAACTGTACTAATTGCACACAAGCAACAAAAGCAGATTATTGTCAAGGTAACTGACTTATTGGTTGATTTTGGCAACTATAGCAAGATACCAAAAAATAACAACTTTTGAGAAATGTAGATAAAAGCATTTCTTAGGCAAAACCCGGCAAGAGTTAAATCGTCATCCTGCGTGTAATGAGAAAATATGTGGAAAAAAATTCGTTGCAGCAACATGTACGACTACTCTTCACAAAAAGGAGTCTTTAACACACAAGTGCACAAGGAGCTGGCTTATTGTCTTCGCAGAACTGAGACTTTTGTTAGCAAACATATCATTCCCTGCGGTCTTGAAACCGCAGGGTATTGCTACGCGTTTAACTTTTGGGGCATGGAGGAGCACGTGACCTGTTTTCGGTACATGGAGGAGCATGTGATCTGTAAACCGTATATGATTGGTTAATTGACCTTTTCGAATACCCAGCTAAATACCGTTTGCCGGTACGTTACGGATTTACCTATAGGGAATTAGTCCGAATCATACCTAATTGACAGCAAAAAAACTATTACGTGATACTTCTAATTTTCTATAATTATTTTACCGTTTAAGGTGGAAAAACTTGAATGATGTGTTTGAAAATTATCAATATTTCTTTAATATCTATCTCAAATTTTACAAACAATAAATTGTTTAAACTGAAAATCTACAAAATTAAAATATTCGTATTGGCATCTGCCATAATAAATAGAGACATTTTCTGCGTAAACTTGTGTGTTTACTTTATTTATTTTTTGCTCGGAATTATTCATAAAATGGTAGGCATATTTAATCATTTTCTTAAAAAGAAATAATCGTTTTATGTTCGACCTTCTCCGGTCTTCAACGGTCACCAGTTTTCAAAGACCTTCTTCTATATTGATCGATTATTGTCAACTATATTCTTGATACAAACGTTTATTTTATCCCCCCCCCCCCCCAAATAATGTTAAAAATAGTTTTACCATTTTACTTGTTTAGATATAGTGTTCTATCTGTATAATCCAGATAGTCGTGTTCACAAGTAGACCGTAAGTTCTTTGTCATAAAACCAATGTCCAGGAACATAATGAATTATATATTGTCTGATTTCAGCCTCTTTTTGAATAAAGTATAAATTTCAACACTTGTTTAAAAGAAATTTCATGGTTTCATTTCATGGATTATTTTCGACAATTCGGTCAAATTCTCCTGGTTGCTCTTGTCGGACCACAACTTTTATAACAATTACGTCACGTTACTGCTGTTCCGTTCTTATATTATCTTTACTGAGTTGTCGTTCCTATTGATAAGGGTTTTTTTCGGCATACTTTGGATTTACTGTTAACATTTTTTTTGTAAAATGAAAGGAAAGGAACGTATTTGACCCTTTGAGCACATAACCTTTACTACCTTATCATGATTTTACATTATACTTTTTTGTCTAAAACATTAAATATTTGACAAGGAATTATCTTTGCTTGCCATTAGTACAAACAACTTGAATTAAACCTTTCGGAATATGCACTTAATACAAACACTGTTATACGTGGTAGAGTTATGCCCTTAAAACGTGGAAATGCACTTAATTTGTAAACATTGTGAACATCAAAGAATGGTTTCCAATAAGTTTTTTTATTCTGTTTACTTTAAAAACAATGGCGATCGGCGTATAAAAACATTGCATAAAGCATTCAATATGTCGTACATACTCGTACATGTAGTAGTTAAAACAGAAGAAAAGAAAAAAAAATGTAATATGTCCGCAAAATTCATTAACATCGTTTTACGTTCAATCTTATATTCTGTCGAATTATTAAGGAATTTATGACTATTAATTGTTGCACTAGTATCAAAATAAAAAAAACAAACAAACATAAGTGTCCCCGTGAGCCTGTAAAATAATTTAACTCTCGAATTATGTTTAAATACAAAATTAAGCCACGTCGAATTATAATGTCCAAAATAATAATAGTGTCATGTAATCGGAAATTGTCATTTATTGACTCGGTAAATACGAAACATTTCGACCATTTCCACTACATAAAACTTGTATAAATAGCCGGGATTGGTAAATATTGAACAGCAATTTTAAATTCATGAAGCTTTATCTATATGCTATATTGATCGACTCTAGTTTTTGAAATTCATTCTATGTTTTATAAGAGAAACGCTGGAATGACAGACGAGTCAATATATAGGCAGGAGCGAGGTAAAAACAATTAATTTAAGCATAAAAGCGTTTAAGTGAAACGGTTATTTTATAAATGGATTTGTTTATACCGCGGCTAGTTTTAAATTATGCTGATCATATTGAAATCAAAGGGCTTCATAATGGTAAATGTGTGGATTTAAACAGGTAGATATAAAACGTCATGGAATACAAAGTGTTTTCTGTTCTGAATTGTGTATCTTAAATTACGAGGATGTAGTTTAACAACGGTTTCAATTTCAGGTTGTCAAATTTTCAATTGATTAAAATTAAATTCATAGGTAGGTAGAAGGTAGCTATTAAATGCCAATTTCTTATTTACGACAGTTAAAGTAAAATTATCATATTATATGTTTAGAAGGCTTGTGAAAGTCCGTACATCAAAAGAGTGTTACTAACAAAAAAGTCGGACCAGGAATTTAATAATTGGTTGTCTTCAAACGACAGCTATGAATCATCTTTAAGTATAATATAAAAGCGGCAAGAGAAAATCTTATAATACGAAAGGTTGTTTATGGATATTCAATTTGTATTTAATAGGTTTTTATGACTTCACTTAAGGTTAACGGTTTAAAGACTTTTTCAGAATTTAACAAGTATAAGTTTAACAAAGATACTGTAAAGAAAGGAAATATTTCGAAGCTATCTTCGGATATTCATATCAATGCCTTCAGAATCATTTCTATCTAAAAACACATTTGAATTCGTGCCGTATTTTCATCCGTTCAAGCTTCTGGCAAATTGAATATTCGCTACTTAAATAAACAGCCCTTCACAATTATATCCGAGAAACTAAATTGAGTCGGGACACCCTAAGGCTTCTATCCGAGAAACTAAACTGAGTCAGGTCACCTTATACTAAGTTAACTTTTTCTCGCTTCTGTTGGAGAAACTAATTGAGTCGGGACACCTTATACTACGTTAACTTTTTCTCGCTTCTATCCGAGAAACTAAATTGAGTCGGGACACCTTAAGTTAACCTCTTCACGCTTCTATCCGAGAAACTAAATTGAATCGGGACACGGGACACCATAAAGAGAAACAAAATATTGAGAGGCCACCCTCAGTGAACATGTTCATTCTTCGTTATAAACACAAACGGTGTAAACGCCCTCTTGTTTATATTTTAATGGGTTCTTTTCTTAGAAACGATGGCGAGCAGTTCTAAAAACGAGAATAATTGTTACATTTTCTCTATGAATATTCCGTGTTTGCTTCTAAAAATCTTCCACCGATCCTTAAATTATTTTCCCATCTTTCCCTCTATATTTACCATCTTTTTCTTTTCTCTATAAATCTTACTCTTTCCCTCTATAAATGTTCCATCATACCCTTTATAAATGTTCCATCTTTACTTTATAAATGGTCCACCTTTCAATCTATATAATTATGTTCCAGCCTTCCCTCTCTAAATAGCCCATGTTCTCACCTACAAATGTTCCATTCATCCCTCTATAAATGGTCCATGTTCTCATCTATAAATGTTCCATTCATTCCTTTATAAATAGTCCATGTTCTCACCTACAAATGTTTCATTCATCCCTCTATAAATGGTCCATGTTCTCATCTATAAATGTTCCATTCATCCCTCTATAAATGGTCCATGTTTTCATCTATAAATGTTCCATTCATCCCTCTATAAATGGTCCATGTTCTCATCTATAAATGTTCTATCATATTCTCTATAAATGTTCCATCTTGCCTTCTATGAATGTCCCATCTCCTCTATAAATATTTATCATCCCGTCTATAACTATCTCTCTTAAAATGTTCCATGTTCTCTGCTTAAAATGTTCCATAACAGGAATAATGAAATTTTAACTTTATTTCAAATATACAGGGTATTTTTGACTAAAGAATTGAGCTCTGCATTATATAACATTGTTACCAGTTTTCGGTCAGTCTGTCGTTCGGTTGTTTTATATGAACTGATGTTTTTACGAACGATCAAAGAACGGGACATTAAAGAGAGAAATTAAATAGAACGGTGTCTTGAAACCTTAAATGAATTTTAGAATCTAAAGAATTATATAAGTCAATGAACATGCAAATTACTAATCTTTAAATGTAAACTCTACAAACTGCGCTTCGAACTTATTTGAAGATGATTTTTGCTTCACATGAGCGCCTTTTAATTTAAAGGAACATTAATTTTTTGGCCAGTTGGCAAAAAATATCTATGGATTTAAAATCCGTATCAATAAAATGATATTGGAAGTCATTGATGTAGTTTAAATTCAAATACAAAAACCAATAATGCCTTTTTGAAGGAAAAAAAAACTTGGGTTAAAATTATTTGACACCGTGCCAATACGTTGGGTTGTAAGTCATGCTTGAAAAGATTTACCGCTATGATGTGGCGCTAAAACATTAATAATTTAAACTTATTAGGACATTCAAAGGTAATTTATAATATTGCAGAATATACATTGTCGTAGTTTTGGCATTTAAGTCTGATTTTGGCGAAGGTAGCTGATTTTAAAATGATTAGTCGCGATTTAATCCGATATACATTTTATTGGCCACAACTTTACAGTTGTAAATCTATATAGAAGGGATCTTTTTTAATGTAAAAAAAAAGATTTTTGAATTGTTTAAGTATTTTACTGTGTTATGTTAAACGCGTGGCTGTGTGGAATAAGTTCATATAAAGATATGTTATAAACAACTACATCTTTATAGAAGGTTTAAATGGATTTTAAAATAAAGTTTAGCAAATAAGGAAAACCCCGTTTACAGAAAAGAAGATGAGTTCTAACGACAAAGCAGCGTGGGCGAAATAAACTTTAGGACGTTTTAGTTAACGTTTATGCTCAAATAAGTGATCACAATTATTCTAAATAGCTTTTTGGTAGGATTGATTTTAATGAACAGGTTGGTTAGTTTTTATATATTGATATCTAATATAGAAGAAAATATCCCCCTCAAAGAATCTAAAATAGAATTTTGCAATTTCTCGTGAATGAATTAGTATTCAGATCTAATTACACTTGAGCAAAAAATATTATTCATATAATTTCAATGGGTTGAACTTCGATGGGTTTAAAAACCTGTAAAGCGGTTTTAAATTATTACTCTTTCAGCATTATAAACATTTTAATATGACATACCCAATTGGTATAAGTACATAGTTATCTACGTCCTAAGGTATTTATATCATAACTGCATTGGCAGATTTCAATTTTAACAGAAACCCATTTTGACGGAATACTGTAGATCAATTTACCATAATGTCACTTAATATGCGGCTTTTACATTTTACGCAGTAATCAATTATTTACAAGTAGTTTCAAACAATTTTCTACGCTTAAATTAATTTTTCATTCAGCTATAATAGGCAATAGTGATTTCCCGTCTCCTTCCTGCAATAAAGGCTTTAAAATATTGTGCAATCTAATTCAGCTTATATTCTTTTACATTGTATTTTTTTTCTATTTTTTATTCCAGGGATATAAACATTTCAGTGTTCTCGAGTGCGACAGAAGCTTTTAAAATGACTTTAGTCGTATAAATCAACATAGTGCGGGATCATGTCATTCAATTTATAACTATCGCACAAATTTTAACACACTGCCGTGACCTTCTTTTTGAAGATTTAGATCATGGGTGATAACCCAGTGTCAACATCAGCTTCGACGCAACGAAAGCTTCCAATACCTTCGAGTGGTGCCAATACAAACTCCGCTTTCAAAGGAATACTGATAAAGCCCAAAAGAATTCTACCGGCTCAACCCGATAACCCAAAACTGAAAAGAAACTCTCAGCAGACGAATGGGTCTGAATTTAAAGCAGACGAAGTGATCAATGAAACTTCTTCGCGGGCGGATTTTAATCCATCTTGTAAAAGTGAAAATGCAAATAAGAATTCTTCACACAAAGTTACAATACCTAAACTTCTGATCGATGTAGATAGGCTAAAGACACATTTTCAGTTACACGGTAAAGCGACCGGGCGATCAGATAGTCGTAAAAAGGACTTCAACGAGAATGAGATACAGAAAAATACTGAAAATGAATCGGTACGGTCACAAACTGAGTGTACTAATGTAACTAGTGAATTTTTGTCTAACGAAAATAAATTGTATGATTCGGTTGGATTAACTAATTTGAAAGTTAAAGAATGGTGCTCATCTGGTGAACTGGCTAATATGACAGCCAAAATGTCAGCAGATTCAACAACGACAAAATCAATCGAAAGGAGTATTCGTTCTCCGTCCCCAAAAAGCAACACGACTTGGGACCGGTCCAGCTCGGGATACAGTAGTGACGAGCGGGCCGATCCTCGGTCACCCCCACCCAGTCATAGTGCGAGTGCTAGTGTAAGCTCTAAAACCGAGACTGAGCTCACAAATGACGATGATGTGTTAGCTTCTAACACTGAAGATGCCAGTGAAAATCAGACTGATATTGAAAACGAAGAGGAATCTGAAGAATTGCCATCACAAGATAGGGACAATAGTGACGATCAAACATTAAGTGCAGAAAATAGTGCAAGTTCGAATTCTTCTAATTCTTTAGGTACCACACAGACTAGTGACAACGAAGTACTTATTGCTGACAGTGATAGTACGCAATGTGTATCTTGTGAAGCAAACAATAATGGTGCCGATAAAAACGAAACAACGAATTCTTGTGTTAGTTTACCTTTTGATAATTCAGTTGGCTCTAAGCAAAATGCGAAGCGGTCGGCGTGGACCGCGCATTCACCTTTACCGGGAAATGGCAGGATACAGTACCGGAAGTCCGTAAGTGAGTCTATGATCAGTTTACGACACACCAGTCGACAGGGTATGGTGGAAAATAACTTTGATGGACTTGAAGTATGTGGTAAATCTTTTCCGCAATCAGCAAGTAATAACATTGCCGCCAAAAGTGACTCTACGCCACAAGATGGCGCTAATTGTGAAGCAAGTGGTCGGCAAGAAATTCTTAGCCCGACATCAGCGTTTGTTCATGTTCCACGATTAGGAACGTCTATTGGAAGTGAACTGCAACAAAACGACGCTAGTGGTCAAGAAATGACACCACGGTCACGGCTTTTGCGCAACTCCCTACCGCAGTTTCGTAATCCAAGGGACATAAAAAGTCTGGGACTCGGACCTAACGGTAAGTAAACAACAATTAACAATTAAATAATTTTGTGGGGCAGGAAAAAATCTTGGATGTCATATGGTTGGCTATGGCAAAAATATTTTTAGTTAAAATACAATACAATTCATAAATGATCATAACATGACTTTGCTGTGGTTATCTAAACATCAACAGCCATTGATTAAAAGTAAAAGAAAGCCTTAAGACTTTTAATTTTTTAAATCAACATAAATCTACCCTAACAAAACAAATCGTTTGGAAACCAAGGTCACACATAGTGAATATTACCCTATATTTAAGTATGTACATAATTAGTGCCACAAAAGTACACAAAATGTAAAGGTTCGGTCTAAATTTGAGCCTTAATTCAAACATGATCCTCACGGGCATTTTCATCGTTGGTTTAGGTCACTCTCAACTTTAGGTATATTTTGAAATGATATTAAATCGTGAATGGAATATGTGTGAATCCATGATATAAACTTCTATTTAGGTTTCTTTTAATGCCTGGCCAATATAGAAGTGCATACATTAGTCTTCTTTTACACAAATTCATTATAAACACCAAAGCGCACAAATAGTATTTTTTACTGGTACCCTTCTTTGACTTGTTGCTATTTTTTATGAAATAAAAATCGTATCTGAATTCAACTCAAACTTTTGATACATACATTGAGGGCATTAGTGCTCGTAACAATAACATTGAAGAGACTGTTTATAATTAGTTAGATAGAACAGAAACGGTCTTGCGAAACGAAATTCGATAGTAGGTTAAGATAAAAGATGATTGTTTTTGCTTTTGATTTGAGTCTGGATATTTAAAAAAAAAAGAAACAGTGGCAAGAATAAGAGTCTTTAATTTTAACTGCAGATAAACTGCATGCACCAGTCAATGTTGTCTACGGCCCATTATCCAGGAGAAGTACGGTGGGTAGCGGGTAGAGAGATTTTTCTCAGCACTACCGGGACGATGCTTTTGTCTGAAAGTCAAATGGATTACACTGTTTCCAAATCACAGTATCGGGACTTTAAGTGAGGGTTTAATCAGCAGCTGTATGTCTCCGTACGGAGGGACTTTTACTTGGGATTTAAAAATCCAAAAGTCAGAGTCCCAGCTTATTTCGAGAGACTGGGGGTCGTTATTTCAAATGACTAGTGCATTGCATTGTTTTTAAACAGTGATATTGTTTAACAGGTATTTTTATGGAATGTAAACAAAACATTGAGCCAAACATTTGTAACATTTACAAGTTTAAAAAACCCTTAGATTACTCCCCCAGATAAACTTCAGTTAAATAGGGAGTAAATAGCTCCGCGGTGCAAACTTCTTTAATAGTTTCAAAAGCTTTGACGGCCTTGTTTTTGTCCGTGTATATACAGTGAATAATGGAGAAGAATTTGGAAGTTATAGATCTCTATAGTAAGATCATAATCACTGTCATTATTAACAATTCATATCGCTATTGATTTAACCTGGTTTGAATTTTACCTCGGATCAAAACAATCTATGGTATGTTATCCTGGCTTTTTGAAAAGCATTATAAATTACAAACTCGATAATTTATAACTATAGCAAAGAAGAGAGGCGATTTCCTACCATTGTAGTTAATAACTATGAAGAAATATTTATCGCTGGCGAGGCATTACCTGGCTTAAGACACGGTTTTTACAATAAACCAACAAGATAAGTGTTTTAAAGTGTCTCCCGACGTCAATAAATTTTAATGTAATACAATTACTTGTTTTTTCAGGGTCATGTTTGTGAATAACTACTTGCGAATTGCATATAATGTGCTTACATTTAGTTTTTAATATAAAAACCATCCTGCATAGCTCAATCGGTTAAGGGTTCGATTCCCGGGCTGGCCACAGTCTTTCGAATGAGACTTTTAATCGAGGTCCCGTGTATGACTGTTTAAACACTTAGCACGCTAAAGAACTAGGTGAAGCTTCTGGAATTTTGGCATCGTTTTGTATCTGTATCTTGCACTATCCTTGACTTATATTATTTTGGAGTACTCGCCCATATGGACAACCGGTGGCGAGTATAACTTAACTCAGATACATATATACTCTTTAATATCTTCCTTTTGTACAAGAATGTATCGAATGTATTTATTATTATCATTATTGTTATCATTATTATTATCATTAAGACTTACTAAATACAGACGGACGAACATTATGCTTCATTTCTGCGTTCAACTATGCCAATACATTACAAAGACTTGAAATTTTATTTACGTTACCGTAATTCCTATTTTATTGACAGAGTCGTATTTACGAGTACTTGCCTTACTGTAGATACTGAATCGCACGTATGTGTAATATAAATTGAACATTTAGATCAGAAACAAAATTAGTAAGATGAATAAGGCCTTAAAGCTGGTGTAGGGACTACATAAAACAACAACAAAACTTATAATTGAGATTTCAAACCTTAAAGGCACATTATGCCCCAGAAACAAATAAATTTGTACTTCTTTAGAAAGATCAAGACATTAATTTTATCATGTTTATATAAGAGAAATGTTAGATTCTGTTACCTAAAAAAGTAGAATAAATGGGAAATTATTTGTCATAAAAGTAGCGAAATGTAAATAAAGTAGTATTTTGACTCCCATACAAAGTACTATTTCACTATAACTGTACATATTGTAAAAATTAAAAACAACAGATGAAAAAGATGATTCTGGTAATTGGCTAGTAAGTAACTTTTTGGGTACTATTAATGTACACCAAAATTAAGATGCTCAATGAGCTTAATGGGCTTTGAATTTACTTTTAAATCTAAAGTTAAAAATTAAGAATTCCAGTGCGAAACTTAAACAACAAACTGCCAACAACTAGTATAAAGTTTAACCTAAAAAATTAAGCAGAATTCCAGGAATCAAGTTGGGATCTAAATCCTTGAACTGAAAACTAAATATTTAAAGCACATTCTGAAAACCTATTCCTTAAGTTCGGATGCTGCATGCCTCGTTGTGAGACAAAATATTTCAAGAATTTCAACATTGAGGAAAATGCGCTAAGATTTTAAAAAATGTGAAAATATTCACAATTCAAGAAATACCGTATTCCTACTGCGTGACTAACGCAGTAAGGGCTATTTCTATATATTTTGACATACATGTATTTTGGCAATTTTCGTATATTTTAAGTGCCTTTTAAAATGAATCATTTGCTTTATTTGTTCACTTGATAATATTTAACTTTTTAATACATTTTAAAGATAAATCATGAAAATTAGTATGAATCGGGAGGCATGCTGCTTTAAGCTGGGAACTAAGAATAAAAAACTATTATTTTTATCTCATAATATGCACTAAATGTGAAAGTATTAAAGGAGACAAAATTTAAGACTTATAATTTACATTGTATATCAACAAATAACCGACATTATTTGGTCTACTTTTCTCTAAAAATAATCATCTTTACTTTTTTACTTACCATGTACTCAAAATGCTTTCACGGTCAAATCTTATTTGCTTTTATGGAAGTGAAAGTTTTTATTGAAATTCAAAAAGTCAAAAAACAGTTTAAAGTAGTGTATTGTACGCTTAATAGGGTGCTGTAATACATAGGAAATCTTCACAAAATTTATCCCATTTCTATAGCTTTGTTTACAGAAATAATTATGTTCTCAAAAACGTTTACAAAAAAGATTTGTTGTTTACCTTTATTTAAAGAATGCAAGTAGTTAAATTGGATGTCTTTTAAATTTGATATCTGGTATACAATATCTTTGAAAGAGGGTGGTTTCTTCCAAAGTCTGTTTTTAAGGGCGTTCACCATGTCATCCCCCTTTTTAACCTTTTATAAAAAACAGTGTAAATTTAAAAACCCGGGAACACCTTGGGGGCTCCCAAAAAAAGTTGGTTTTTGAATTTTTCCCCCGGATTTTAGAAGTTGGAATTTTTTTCTGAACAAGTAGAAAATTAAAATTTACAATATATATTTGAATATATTATAACGGAGATTACATAACGATATTGAGCATGTTCTGAGCCTGTAATGGTGCATAAGTCTCACCCTTCCTGGGTTGACAGAATGATTCTATAAACTCTGATGACTTTGGCTCCAAATTTCCGGCAGATCTTTATACTCGAAATATTAGGGTAGTTTAAGGGCCATAAATATTCGTTATGACAGGAAATTTACTTGTGCCCCTGTTTCCGAGAAATTAATCAAACACATAAACTATAGATACATTCAGACATTCAGTGCCCATTTTTTTTCAACATATTTATATGTTTCTATGAAATTATAATAATAAAATACTTTCAGTACTTTGATCATTTCAATATATACATGTAGTACCTGTCCTTAAACCTTGTTTTTATTTTGATACGTGAGAAAAAAAAATCGAGCCTGAGAACAAATATGCTAATTTGATTAAATCATGTATTCATATTTCGGTGTTTTAAGTATATTTCAATTCATTTCCATCAATCATCAATCTTACGATACATTTTGACATTCTTACATGCCTTTTAAAGACCCTGATCGAAACGCATGACATAAATACGGACTGACTTCTTATCCTTCTGTATTTAAATAGTATTAAACTGTAGAGATATGTGATGTTTATATAAACAAAACTGACTTTTGATACCCGGTTTGCTGTACATCCAACGACGATAAATTACACAGATCACGTACAAAACCCACTGGGTATTTGTAGGCGAAAGTTTTCTCTCAATCAAATCTAAGAGAAAAAATTGACTTTATCATATTAAGTAATACTAGCCCAAGACCCTTCATTGCTATTTATTCTCCGCGTTTCTGCTTTCATAGAAAACATTTTGTTAAGATAGGCTATAAATAATTTCTATAAAGTGACATGTCATAAAAATGCAATTAAGTTCAGTTTAATAAATTTTGTACAAACGCGTTTTAAATTATTTCACTGCTTAAGTTTTAAATGTCAGTCGGGTTTTATTGCACGGATTACGAAAATGCAAACGTCAAGAAATCGGTCGCACGTGTTGGGTTGTTGTTATTTTTTGAAAATA